TGAGTTGTACCTGGATAGGCACTCTACCTTATGATGGAGAAATGAATGCCCTTTCCTAGCACTGTTTGCCAACAGTCCTCAGAAGTACTGCTCTGGAAGTGATGAAATAAAGTCAATCTTAAGGCAGGATAATGCCATGCACCTTATCGAGGATTCAGGGGCTCAGTGAAGAATGACACAATAATCATTCCAAGGAAAAGAAGAAAGTGATTGAGGGAGCAAATAAAGGTAAATGGATTGCATTTTCTCAGTCAAGAGAGTCTCATCTTGGTTTGCTTCACCATAAGTCAGGAGTACATCTCAAATTTAATAGATTCCATGAAAACCCATAAGTCTAACACTGGAACTGAACTGAAAATGTCCAAAAAGTAAGACATCAGGTTTGATTAACCAGCAAGTGCAACATGGTGCTGACAAAATGCTAACAGGCATAGGGACTCATCATACATGAGCCTCAACCAAAAGGCTTTTCAGTAACCAAAAATTAATGTCCTAAATGTTGTAAACAAGTAGAGGGTAGCTCCATATGCTGTACAGCAATGTCAGGCCACATTTTCTAAGGGATCTTTAAAGTAATATAACACAATGATATGAGAGAATGTGAGAAGGTAAGTTTTTTTTTAGTAAGTTTATCTTTGTAATATTCTCATTATTTCCTTTATCATCTTGCTGATTTGGAGATGGTGAAGGATTACCATTTTTTTCAAACTGGTGCCAACTGACCCAATAAAATCACTCAATAAGCTGTGAAAAGGCTAACTCTTGGGAAAATTTTCTTCAAGTATTGGCTTCAACATACTGCACTCATGCAAAGGGAAGGAGCATTAGGCAAATGATCAATAGTTTACAACTTTCAATCAATGTGACACCATGGGAAGGGGGAAGGCAGGGCCCAAAGAAAAAGATGTTAGAATAATGTATATCTCCAGTAATGATTTACATGTTGCCTCTAAATAGCACATGGTTATTGATAGATATAGATGTGTGCATATATAAATAAGCGATTACCTGGTAGGTAATCCTAAAAAGCTGTTTTTTATGAAACATAGGACTCAACATTATAACACCTGCTGTCTGTCCTCATCAAAGTTCTTACTTTGCAATCAGCAGATCAAGGTATATATCTGGCTACAGGAATTACTTGGTGCGGTCCCTGGAGATCAGTCTGGGTGGGACTGGCATCATTGTAACCAATAGTAGTGGGGTTCATTCCCGCATGCGGATTTAACCAAACCCACCCTGTCCGTGGTAACCATAAAGGAAAAGTGTTGGATACGTGGAACCACCCTTCGTCCGGTGACGGGATGGTCCATTAGTGAATTTTTCGACAAGAAATAATTTGTATAGACTCAACATTATATATATATATATTTTTACACAGAAGGTGCCCAACTAAAACTTGCCAAGCACAAGTATAAGTGATGCAAAGAAAAGACAAAGTTTTCATGGACAAAGTTTTGGTCAATAATTTTCTTGGGAGTACCTGTCATTCAAAACTCAACCTAATCTGGAAATGAAATGGGACTGAAGCCCTGAAATTGCTCTATGTTGATTCCCTCATGAGACTCTTGACAGAAGCCATTCTTAGTCCCCACAGAACTTCAACTTATATGAAGCACAGTCATACTGTCTATCTTCCCCCTTATTTAAATACTAGTATCTGAACCAGGGCTGAGACTTAATTTTTTAAGAATGGAAGGTCTCCAGGAAAAAATGGATGAATTTCAATCTGGCCTCACCCTCTCACAAAAGTTTTAATTCTGACTTGCTACTAGAAACATAAAACTGAAATTGCCAGTTGACTGCTGCTGACATTCTTTAAGGACTGCCTTGGAACTGGAATGTCAAGGAATATCAGTATTCAATCAGAATAATGTCAAGCACCATGTTGGATATTGAGGAGAAAATAGCTTTGGCATTAATGTAGGAACCATGCTTCTCAGTGAAACAAAACAACAAAAATAAAAGAAACAGTACAACCCATATGAAAATTAGTGGAATTGGTGCAGACTTCACACAGTAATGAAACTGATTCTTAACTAAACAAATAATATGCTAAATGCCAAAAAGGCTTGATTTGATTAATGGAGAAGTTCTGTCAATTGATCATGTGTCCTGAAGAAATTGAGAGAGCAGCATGGCATCAACAAGTAAATGTGCTCTTATAAGAGAAACGTGAGAGCATTTTTCGAAATCTTCTGTTCATTTACAGTCTGATGAATCTCTCTTGCAAGGAGGAATGCAAACATCACTGTGATGCACCACTGACTATTTTTTGATGATCAACCATCACCAATCCAGAGTCAGAAATCCAGATCATTATTTTTTTCTCTCTATAGAAGCTCGTGGAAGTGCAGATTTCTTTGCCTATATTGTCTCCCAAGTGCAAGATCAGACAGGACCAAAGCGCCCTGTGATGCCAAGTGAGTCTTGTACTGATGTAACTTCTCCCCAGGGATTTGAGATATGAAATGTTGTCTGTGTGGCAGAGGTGAGCTCCACGGGGCACATGGACAAGATCTCACGACTGATGGGGGAGGAGGAGATCAGAGAGATGGGGAAGAGGGCAGCTGCTGAAGATCAGTTGAAGGAATCCCAGTCGGAATTCTTCGATGGGATCCGCTGGAGGCAGAGGAATGGTTTCAATTCCTCATGAATCTCCCTTCCCATTCACCCAACAATCTCCTCATGCACCATCTACCTTCTGCTAGGATATTCCAAAAATTTGTAGCAATATGCATAATGCATATTACTTATATATTTTGCATGAGCATACCATGAGTAAAATTCATACATAATATGCATATGCACAACATATGCTCAGTGAATAGGGTAACATCACAATGAATCCCACCAAAGCACCAGCATCCTCTTATGCCAGACCAGACCAGAACTGGAAAGGAGAAGCTCTGAGAGGACTTTCACCCTGTTTAATATTAACCCCTTGAACACACAATGCATCTGTATGCATCATGGAGAAACCATACTACTGATCCACATGATGCTCACAGGGGAAAAGTATCAAGAGAGGAAGTAAAGTCAGAGATAATTGCATTTAAGTAGAGGAACTATAACAGGAACAAAAATTATTTAAAAGAAACAAAATTCTGGCATATGACAGATATGAAGTTCTCCAATACCTGGTGTGTTCAAGGGGTTACAGAATAATGAATCCTCCTCTCCCCCTCTGATACCAGCCTTTGGGTCTATCCCTCTCAGATATGATGTGATGAACAACTGTTTTGTATATTCTGTCATATTTTGTTGAAGTTCAAGTTGATCTTGAAACCCATCTAGAATATCAGCACAAACAAACATATAGTTTATGTTCCTCAATTTAGCCTCAAATACATGTGATATCCAAGAAACCACTGTGATTTATGTTGTAAATGTTAGACCCACGTGATCGTACCTACCAGTACGTGAATGGTAGCATATACCGTCCATTGTTACAGTATGGTGCACAAAACCAGTTGGCATGTATCCTAGGCGTTAGTTTTGTCGTTGAATGAAAGTTATCTGCTTGGGTATAGCTTGATATGCATTTTTATTTGTTCTGGACTTTAAATAACAAACAAATGGAAGAAGTCAGAGCTCAGAAGAAGGAAAAGATCCTTGAATAGAAACTTTGGGTGAAAAATACTGGGTATAAAAGCTATACCTGCACAACACTCCAGTATAATATGGCATGTACTATAGGTTACCACTCTTTCTGGCAAGAACTAGAGGGTCACTTCAAATCCAATTCATGACTTCAAGCTCAAGTAGCATAATCAATGCAGAATATGCAGAATCCTGAATGAGGCCTGCATCTCTGTACATGTGACAAGCATATAGTATGACAAAAGCAATCAGAAAAATGAGATATCTGAGCATCAGGGCTGATGTGGGTGATACATGTTTGTCTGTCTCAATGATTGGGTCATTCAATCTCTCAAGGATACCATTTAAAATGAACTACCTTGATGGACTAAAACCTAAAGAAGGGTTGTGAAGGGAATTCTGCTTCTCTCATCCCCTCTAAACTCCTGAATGGTGTCATGGGAGCCTGAAACAAAGGAAAGCAAAGTACTCTTTGAGTCCTCGGAAAATTATGATTAAGAAGATGCATCACCAGTCTTCATAGCTTTTTGTATTTCATTCTTTACATTCATTATAACTATGAATCCTACCTAACTGCAGAGTGAGCTGTTCAAGAAATGTCATATATTGAGGAATGCTGACCATATTTTTAGTGGCAGTGAAGCCTCCATGGACCCTGGTACTGCATTCAAGAAACCAAGCATCCTCATTCATAAATAGCTTGCTCTCAAAAGATGCAGTGAAGTATTCAGCACAGCTTGGTGTAAGACCTCTCTCCCCACTTGCATCCTTTGGTTCAGAGAACAACTCATGATTTGAGCCAAAGCAGTTTAAGTTAGAGAATGTAAAAATATCATCAACAAAGGTGGATGAAACGAAAGGAGACCAAACTGGAAAGGGTGGTGAGTGAGATCTAGGAATGGTGAAGGAATCTGGAGGAAAGTCGTGGAAGTAAGGACGAGAGGGAGAGTTTGATGATACCAAATCCATCATGGATTCAACAGGATATTCCTGAAGAGAAGAGGGTTCAGGAATGGTGGATGGTGTCATTGCAGGGAAGATGTCTGGTCGAGAAAAGTGGCGATTGCGTTCCGCTTGTGCATGACTGGAAATGTAATGATGGTAAGGCCCTCACAGACTCATTCCACTCTTCTATCATTTTTAATTGTAAACAGGAAGCAAGAAAGATGTCTTCATTGGCATCATGTTATCTACTGTAATTGAAGGTACAGGTTAGTTTATATGTAGTTACAGCATACAGTAAATCACTAAATAGAAGTTCCTCACACAGAAAAGAAAGTGTCATAAAATATTGAAGAAGTTGATTCAGTGCACTTGGAATGAATCTATTCATGGAGTCTTGAAAGTCAGAGACTGAATGTGTACAGGAGTATGAGGGGCAGTCAACAGGTTTCCATAGTTGCACTGTAGTACTCCAAATATTTGGAACAGGACAAAATGGCATCTTTCACGGAAATGTCAACATTCCAACTATGGGCAGTGCAATTTGCAAGGAACTCTAACCATTGGTTTCTTCTTGGCCATGAGGTAAAGTTGTTATGTTAAGCACACTGCCATAAGTGGGCATGGAAAAACTCAAGAACTCCTTTTGTGGGCACCACTATCCCTCTTGAGGTGCAATGTGGAAGTGGTTTTGATTTGCTCCTAAAAATTTGTTTTCCCAGTGCTACCACAAGTGGATGAAGAGATGCCAGACTTGTATAGAGAACAGGGAGACCATGTTGAAAAGTGAATAATGGAACTTGGAGCCATGCTAAGTACAGGGTGTTTCTTAAGTCACGCAACCCAATGTATAAAACTTTTTTTTGAGTAACCTAAATTGACTATTTTATTTCAACTGTGTGGTACATTTAACAATACCTGGAAATACCAATACACATTCCTTCAGACCATATCTTTGTCCATCCAGTGAAATACAAATGAAGTTGTTTTAATAATGTTTTAATGTTTTAATAATAACTTTTAATAATGTGCAATTATTAGAAGGAAATGAAGGAAAATCTCCATAAAAGAAGTCATGTGAGGTGTATGGAGCTCATATTAAAGGTGATACAAATTATTTTGAAAACCATGGCAGGCTTAACCTATACTCATCAGCCCAGCAGAAAAGATGTAACAACTCACGATGAAATCCTCTCAAAGTCAGTCATGCGGGTCCGAGTGTCCCTCTTTCGTCTTTGAAGCATTGCATGTACGTGCACAGGATGGTGTTCCTTGGCCAAGACTCTGCCAAAACAAATGAAAATTAGAGACTAAGTTATTTTTCCTTTAGACAAGCCCTGTAACACTAATGATAAGTCTTTTTGGTGATAACAAGTCATTCTTGAACTGAGCTATTAGTAATCACTTACCTAGATTGCTGATCAACATAACATTTCTTAGACATAACAATCAGCTTATTTTTAAAACTTTGAGATTCTTCAACCTTTGAGAACCTCTGGACTGGCTACTGGTTTTGAAATGTCTAGATTTGGCTCAGAGATTAGGAGATCATTAATGGTAGCATGGAATGTCAATCATTAAGGATGCATCTTGGGAATCAGGAAACAAGGCATGACAGCATAGAAGGAAGATTAATTTAAATTTGAAATTGGAGCACTTGAGTGCAAAGGTCCTTCCTAGTCATTTCCACAAAGTCCTGTAAGTCTTCAAAAGGACCTTACATAGCAGAATAAATAATGTTTTTTTATTTCGCAGAATGTTTCCGTGGATTCTGCAAATAAAAATTTTTATTTGCAGAATGTTTCCACGGATACTCTTGGCAATATTTTCTGTGCCATTTTCACTATATATATGTTTTCTTCAGGAATATGTAACATGCCATCAAATAGTTTGGCATACCAGGAGAAATATTGCTCATGCATGAATTGAAAACACCTTGGGTGTCTATCTGGAAAGAGCTTCATCAGGAAGACTGGATTTTCTAAATATAGATTGCCAAGTGGAGTGACTTAAAGGGAATTCTTGAAACAGATTTTAATCTTTAAATTAATGTTATTGAAGATGAAATTGTATTTCTCACAGCCCAATGAAATTTTGCCTATGAGCAGAGGGAAAATTTCATAGGGTTACAAGAAGAATTTCACTTCCAACAATTTAATTGCCAAGTCCAATCCTGTTCCAGATTGCCCACTTTAAGGTATCATACAGGCTACTTGCTGTCATGTCAAGAATTTATGCTGCTAGAAATTTTGTTGTCGTCTTCCTCTTCATGAAAGTGGAAGACATGCTAGTTCTGGAGAGTAGATGCTGCCACAAATGGGTTGAAGCCAGAAGGCATGCATTTGCACATTTAATTCTCAAACATAAGAACTCATTTGTCTGACCAGTGACAAAGTCCCCCATGGGGGCTCTCTATGGTGCAGTTGTGTCAACATAATGAAAAATCCTTGTACTATTTTGCAAATAAAATGTTTATAGAATCGAGTCCTTGCTGATATCTGATGGAATTGATTTCCAAGATATGGCAGCAAGTCAGAATGGATAAAGTTCTCTAGAAGGTGGCTTATATTACACCAGATGCAACCATTATATAGAAATTTCAGCTAGTTAGAACTCATCTTGGCTTCATTTCATGATTTTTTTCAGACCTAGACCTACAAAACATCAAGCTTAAGTCTACCACATAGGAATAAAACTCGCTATCACTCCAGGATGAGTTCTATGAGACTAACTTTTGTATCCAGTCTGACTGATCCAATGGTCCTCCTTGACTGAGTGAGGTATTGAGGTCAATTTCTGTTGGACATTCATTCTCAAACATACTGTAGCTATGACTGCCGGATTCCTCCCTTGTCACTCGCCTGGACATGGCACCATAATTCAGTCCTGGAAATGGTTTTTCAATTCCACTGGACATTTCATCTATGACATTGCCTGAGTTTTCTCCCTTCAAGCACTCATAGCCCTGCAGTGATAAAGATATAATTGGTTTAGTGTCTACACTAAGGTCTACAGTCCCAGCCAGAAAAACATGTGAAAAGCAGCTTCCAGCTTGAATAGAAGAAAGAGATGTGCATGAATGAGCACTGGAAGAGGTCAGGAGTTTTTATGCATCAGTAAAAGCTAGGGATCTCAGTGTCTGTTAACCATATACGTGGTTAACCAATTAATCTATTCAAACTAATTACAAAATATAAGTTTTGATTGATCGCCATGACATGTCCATCTTCCCTTTCTTTAAAATTAAAAAAATGGAAGTGTTTACTTGTAGGATTGGGAAGTTCTTCTGTCCATAGCAGAAGAGCAAAAAAATGCATATAGAGCCCTTTCCCTCTCTCTTTCCTAGTGATCCCCTCTGTCAGTTTTTTTATTCCACATTTCTGTAAAGAGGATAAGAAATTCTGATAAGAATTGGACTCAATCATGCTGCCCTTCTTCTTCTCATTCTCCCAAGAGTTTTTTCTTATCAAGTTGTGCATGGTTTCTTCCTCTCACTTTCTGGGTCTCATCTGGGAAGGGAGATCTTCATCTTATGCTTTGAAAAAAGCCATTCTCTGCAGAATGAGTTATCAGAGGAAGGAACAACATTGGCCTCTTCCTGGTGGTCTCCTCTTAGGTGAGCAACCAGATGGTGTGCAGTGGTCTTCAACCAAAAACCAGAAATTGAGACTTTAAGACACCCTTTCTATTATCATTATCATTGTTCCAGACAAGGCTTCATAGAGCAACTGTGAGTGCAGAGATACCATCATACCCCTGTGGATTTCAGGCATTACACAATTAAAGTTTCAAATAAAAACTAACCAATCCTTTTCATCAATGAACAGGACACCAGGAAGGGGGAAAATGCTCTTCCTTATCATGAGGTCTAGGGTCTGGAACCTCATGTATCACAACAAAATGTAAAAATAAATAAAACTATGACTGGGTTTCACATTCATATTTACTCTAGAACATAGGAGCAAGGACAGGAGGGGGGGAATGAGAGTATTGAAGTGCTGGGAGGAGATTCTTCCCAGAGACTTCAATTCCCTACTGATCCAAGCAAGAAACTGCACATGTGCATGACAGTTTTTGTGTGGATGCAATTAATTGAACATTGCAAACCCTTCCTAGAAGATAAATGCTAACTTGGAACTTGGCTACCCTGTTTAAGATGAGGAAAGGGCATGGAAACCTTTCATTCCCATGAACATGAGAAGCCAAAGCCTTCCATGGGACTGAGAAAGTAGAGCCTACCTAATCTCAGTTCATAGGCTCAGAGGCAAGCCTGCTGCTAGAAAGGAGGCTGGAGAAAGAGTTGTCCCAACTCTCCCAGGTAAGGTGGCAGTTCTGAAATTTTCTGGGCAGAAAGCATTAGGAATGTGTCAGGGTGCAGCGTAAACCTTCTCCAATGCAACCATAACCCACAACTTTAACTCTTTCATACACAAAAACTTCACAAAAAAAATCCCTTGCTGCATGTTTTTAATTTCATAAAAAATTGTAATAAGATACATACATTTGACATAAATGAACACAATTAACTGATGCTACGCCTGTGGTCTAGTTTGGCCTATATATTAGAAAAGGTGGCCAAGTCATCCTGTGAGGACCATCTCAACCCTGTCGGCATGCTGGGCTATTTTCACAGTCCTCCCTAATCGACCCTTAATGGGGCTAACGTGGTGTTAATCATAGACGTCGTCGGATCTGCGGAAGTAGACACATCTGATGGAATAAAGCACACTTTCTCCAACTCGACCTTAATTCACTTCGAGAGACGAGGTTCGAAACCCGTGGTCAGACGGGTGACTTCACTCCACGAACAAGAAAAAGGAACCGCTGGGGCGTGTGGCGCCATGTTGAAGTCTCATCCGATTGGGAGACACCGATGACGTCATCGACGCTCTTCTCTGGTGATTGGCAGATGGTGGAAAGGGCTGGCCGAGAGGCGAAGCACGTCAATGAATCCACGTAGTCCTGAACTTCAGACCTGCATCTTTGGAGTTTGGGTTGGATCAGGTCGGCTGCTTCGTGGTCCTCAGGATCAGTGGTGTGGCCAAGGGTCAATTTTACAGGTTCGATTCTCACAAATTTTTTTATACGGCCATGCCAGTCGAGTGGAAGACTTCGAGCCATGTATCCCCACAATAATTAGCTCCGTTCAGAGCAATCGCAATTCAACGATTTACTTCCCAAAAACTCCCGTTCTCCAANTTCCCCCCCCCCCCCCCCCCATTAGTGTGGGTAATCAATGTTTCATATGGCGACCCCCCCCCCCATTCGGATTTCCTGGGCACGCCACTGCTCAGGATCCTAGAGTGCAGGATGTAGCGTGAACCGCGTACCTAATGCTTGCCTTCACTAGTCCAAAATGGCACCCATACATTCAGCCACATTTGCGAACGTTTCTGCACGTGGCAAATTACTTGTTTCAGTGACTCCCTGTCATTGATTATCTGAGTGAAAATAATTTGCATGTGGTGCTTTGGGACATGAATGTTCCGAACTAAGACTTTGAAGCCCTCCCCACTCCCCAGATGTATCCACAGATATGAATGTCTATAGGAGACAAATCGGACGAGCGTTGTGAGGCGCCCCCCCCCCATTCATCTCGGAAGCACAGGATCACTTTCCAATATAATGAAATATAGCTTTTCTAAGACATATATGAACAAACGGAAGTGAAATGTGACTAAGGGAGGTCAAATGTGTCGCTGTGCTGGATGTCGGATTTTAGGGAAAAGCTTGTTCGACATAAGGAAAGTCAAATTCAACCGTTGAGACTTGAGGCCTTATCTCTTGGTCGTGCTCCAAGAGAGATGCCCTCTCCGCGCATTTCTGTTGAAAAAATATTCAAATGCAAATTCGTAAGTGGATATGCATGCGGTCTCACAATTCCATTTACCATGCAGACACTGTTTGATTTCAATCCATGAGAGTGAAAACTATAGGTAGTATCCAATGGAATCTAAGATTCGTGGAAAGGAGGGTAGAAGTTGAGTAGAGGAGACATACTCTCTCGGACCCGGGCCAAGTGGTTCGACGAGGTAAAAGCCTGAGGCGAAAAGAGGGTTCGGGCCGAGTGTTTCGACTTGGCCCACCTTTTACTTTTCCCGGGAAATTCTTGGGAATCTCTTCGAGTCCAAACAAGGCTATTGAGGTATATGATCCATGTGCGCCCTCCCCGTTTCCCCCGCAGACCCGCATCACGCACTATGGAATGCGCGGGCTGCATGCCTGTGCAGCCCTCCGTGCGGCATATACAAAAAATCGTTCGGCCGTGTTCGTATACGTTCGGGGGCCTGGCTGCACAGACCGTAGCTCGGGCTACATCCGAGCGCAGCCCCAAGTCCATATAGCGCGCCGGCGCCAGTCATCGCGCAGGCGCGCGATGCACAATTCAGTCAGTTTTTCTTGCGTTGCGTGAACTAGGTGAAACGTTCCCGTGCAAAAAGAAAATCTGGTGCCTAGGCGCCAGCCGCACGTCTGCGATCGTTGCATTTATTATTCTTAAATTTCGCGCGAAGTCATAAAATATTCATCATTTGATATGCATTGCGCCTTGTGTTTTACGGGAGGTAAAATGTTGACTAATTCCTGCCCTCGGTATCATGCACCCAGCGGCCCCAGCCCTTGCAGTCCCCCCACGTCTTCAACCCACGAGCCGCCATTGCCAATGAGCAAGAAAAGAAACGGCAATCGAGTCAAATGGTGTGTGATACGTAACTTGCGTGGACCGTCCCCCGTTTAGGTGCAGACTACTTCGAGCTTAGAAATCTCGTGCGAGGAAAAACAATGACCTTCAGATGCAGAAAAATCTTCGGGAATTTGCAGGGCGGATACGAGTCCGTGCTACATTACTACATCCAAGTCTGTACTCTAAGTACTGTACGCTAGTGCGACTATGCTATACCCAAGTGTCCGTTCTTAACCGACTACCACGACCACCAGAAGACCATCGCTCCGAAACGGAAGACCGCGGAAATCCTTAGGAGAGAAATTCTTTAATCTAATGGACGCCTGGGGGGATGAACCGTCGCGGCGATAACGGTCAAAAGGTGAACCGATGCGAAACGCTCATTCGTGTCCTCGAGGAACGTGCTTCGTGACTCGAGTGTGACTAACACGACTTGGAGAACGGGAGTTTTTGGGAAGTAAATCGTTGAATTGCGATTGCTCTGAACGGAGCTAATTATTGTGGGGATACATGGCTCGAAGTCTTCCACTCGACTGGCACGATATCGGAGCATGAAGAGAGTCTGCCTTTGCGACGTCTTTTTTCGCCCTTTTCTCTCTTCCTCGATTCCGCGTAACAGACCTAAATCGCTCGATCCGAGGCGTTTTCGAGTCCTCGTCATTCACCATTCGACCGAATGAAGCAAAATTTCCGATGGAGTGACTTCTTGCTCGAAGAATCGGAGCTGCTCTTCTCGTCCTCGTTCCAGGAAACGAGATCGGGAGGGGGGAGGAGTTAATGGGACGTGTTTCCTTCGGTCTCGACGAGGACCGCTTCGCATATCGGTAGCAGGATCTCGTCCCTATCACCTCGCTTCTCTCGACATGGACTCCTGGAGAAGCGGACTAGAAGAGAAGTGAACCGACGCGAACGACCGATCGGACGAGACTCGGGAACCTCAACACGCCCGCAAAACACACACACACACACACCCTCCACCCTCTGAAAAATCCGCACGACCGAACATTCGCAATGGTCCAGGTGTGACGGCACTCTCCACCCACGCCATCTCCAGTGCAGAAACAAGATGAGTCGAGAGAGATCCGTCCGTCCTTCCGCACGAACGAATCAGTTCTCCCCCCCCTCTCCCCCCCCCCCCCTCACCGATCACTTCGCAACGGTGGACATGAGTACGGAAAGCGGCACGAGACGTTACGGCCCGACCATCTGTCTCCCTTCTCTCTGCCTTCGTAGAAAAGAATCTCCCGACGTTTATCACCTTCTTCCACCCGCTGATGAAAAGACACGAGCCAAGAGTGAAAGACGAGGCAGACAGACAGACGAAGGGAGAGAGAAAACGAGAGAGCGCCCGAAAGATGTCACCGTGTGCGATTCACGTCACGACCTTTGATCCACGAACGAACGAGCCGGAACGTCCTCGGTGCCGATGGCCCGCGAGGCGAACGAATGCACGAGGAAATCCGAACGGAGACAGAAGATTCATTCGTCGACGAACGAAACGCGTGCAAAGCGTTCCCTTTTCTTTCCCATTCGGTTCCGTGCCGAAGCGCGGGAAGCGTCTCCGGTCGCTTTTCTACGAGATCGTCGACCGGACGGGTCTGCCTATCGAGCAGCCCCGCCCCCCCCCCCCCGCCCCCGATGCGTCGTTTCCTGCCGACGTCACGCGGTCGAAGCAGCCACGCGGAAGTCCCCCAGGCGCCCCCGCAGCGTTTTCACTCTTTCTCATTTCCCGTACCTTTTTTTTCGAGACTTGACGTGTCTCTTCTCGTCGCCGACGCAAAACGGGTCGGATGCCCCGTCGCGAGCCGCAAAAACCGTCACGACGTCACGAAGGGGATCCCACGCTTCCGCTTCCCAAAAGATGGCGAAGCCCAAAGCGAGCGGATCCATCTCTGCCACCGTGCGGACGGAGTCGATCCGGAGAGAAAGCCACAACATCTTCTCGTTTTCGACTCGAAGACCACGAGCGTTGGAACGTGCCTTCCTCGACGAGTAGGTATGCCCAAAACTGTCTCCGTTCGTTCGACCTCTCTCGTACCGTCTCCGTTCCCGTTTTCCTTCGTTCCTCGCGTTCGGCATCGCGTGTCGATGCGAACCGCAACGAGGAAACGATACGTTTGCAGCCGAATCCCCCGGGGAAAGTACGAACACGCCTGCGATCGGCCTAACGTCACGCGTCCTCGACGAGACGCGTCGACGACCGTGGATTCGCCCTCGTGGGAATCGTTCTGCGGTCGCACGACGGAAGGAGACGAGTCCACTCGTGACGAAATCGAGCCGACGTCATCACCGGAGCGAGTTCGAATCCGTGTTTCGGTGGAACGGAACGAGTCCGACGCCCGTTCCTTCGGGGGAGGACTGCACGGATGGGTTACGTACGAGTCCAGGGAAGCGAAGCGGAGAGCAGTTAGAAAATGTTCCCCTCGAGAAATTGCGAAGACGGACTCGTACTTCACACCACGATCGACCGTTTGGGACGTGCACCGACGCACGGAGCGAGTGCAAAAAGGGACACGGCCGTGGGAACGACGGCACGAGAGTTCCGATGGCTTCGACGGCAGGGCAGACGTTCGCTTCACTGCTCGAGATCACGCGATCGCGATCCGGCCCGTGATCGGTTCCACGATTCCGACGGTTTCGTCTGTAAGGGGGGGGGGGGGGGGGGGGATGTCGAAGAGCGTCTCGGTCGGAGCTCCTTTCGGTTGCGTTTCCTCCCTCTCTCCGCTTTTCTTCTCCCGTTCCGAGGGGAAATCATTCTCGCGGGTTCAAAATAAACCACGGTGATTTATTGAGGCAAACGGTGAATGTGTCAAAATCGACG